TTAGTCATGTTGTGAAGTACAAATCAGAGCAAAAGGGAAAAAAACATGAGAAAGAGAGAGAGAAAGGGAGAGAAGGAGAGAGAATATAGTATACTTCAATCTGCATTCAGACTATAGTTCTTTCTCTAGATGTGGAAAGCATTTTCCATCATGAGTCTTTTGGAATTGTCTTAGATTAACATAATTTTTTGCTACTATGTACAATGTTCTCCTGGTTCTGTTCACTTTACTCAGCATCAGTTCAAGGAAGTCTTTCCAGTTTTTCTAAAATCTGCCTGCTCATCATTTCTTATAGCACAATAGTATTCCATTACATTCACATACCACAGCTTGTTCTCAAATTGATGGGCATCTCCTCAATTTCCAATTCTTTGCCACCACAAAAAGAGCTGCTGTAAATATTTTTATACGTGTGAGTCATTTTTCCTCTCTTATGATCTCTTTGGGAAACAGACCTAGTAGTTGTATTGCCAGATCAAAGGGTATGCACAGTTAAATATTCTAAAAAACAAAATTAGTTTCAAAGATTCAATTAAGCTTCTACAAACATAAACTTTCAAGTGGACTTTCTAAACTGTGTATTTGAACATCTATAATGTGTACATTTGGACATCAACAAAGAAGTTTTCAGAAAATAAAAGTGCAAATGTTTTTAGTATTGCATTATGGTGTTTACTGAACACTATAGATTTTAGTTGTTCAAGGTTATTTTTTTGAATTAAATCAAATCAATGTATCTTTCCCAAAATTTGACTTCTGTCACTGAAGACATGAATCCATACCACAAAGAAGTACCATATTTATATATTTTATACTGATTTTAAAATAAACATAGCATGCTATTATAGTTTTGATTATTCACCTGCTTTATGACTTTGTGGCTAGGCTGATACTCAAGTTATATTAATTGAAAGACTGATTTTTTAAAATGTTTTCATTTTCGACAACTGTCAATTTATTAAATAAATGGTAACACATTTTTCAGCACTTATAATGTGCCAATCACTGTTTTAAGTGCAAGATACAAATAAAAAATATCATAACAGTCCCTCCTTGCTCATAGGGAGCCCCTACTTTAATAGAAGAAGGTAGCACTTAAATTCATCTGAAGGGCACATGAAAAAAAAAAAAACAGAAGTCCTACCAGTGGTGTGATACGGTGGATCCCAATACTCAAACATGCTTGTGTTACACTGGTAATTAAATGAAAGTGCCAGGGTACTGCAGAGCGTAGAGGCAGGGAGAGTCATTATCCAACAAAATGGCACATCTGCATTTTAGTAAAATTACTTCGGGCAGTATGTGGAGTTTGGATTTGAATAAGGAAGAGAGATGAACTACGAAACTGTTTCAAAAATCCAAGCTAGAGGTGATTGAGAACTGACCTAGGGTGATGGCTGTATAAGTGAAGAAAAGGGAGTGAGGGAGATATGCAAGATGATATGGATATTGAAAAGACAAGATTTGGCAATTGTTAGGAAGTTGGAGGGTTTGGGACAATGAAGAAGTAGAAGATGAGACCCAGATTGTAAACATATGTGCCTGGACAGATGATGGTGCTCTTTACAGAAACAGGGAATTTTGGAAGAGAGATGGGTTAGCAGAGGGGGGTGGGGTAGGATATGTGCTCTATAATACATTACAATCTATCCACATGCCTCATTTTATGTGCTTCACTCAAGTGTGTGAAAAACAGGAAAAGTGTGATGTGGGACAGGGCTCTCACCAGCCACTGCCAGGAAGGGGTAGGAGGGGTGTTGCTGGTTGGGGGACCTGCATTGCTATTCCAATGGGTGTGGGCATTTTGATTTAGACTGACATTGAGATTATAACTGGCTGTGAAGAGGAGGGATGGTTGAAAGCCTGTACTACTAAGAGGAATTGATGTGGAAAAATGTTGGGGAAAAATGAATAAAGAGTAAATAAGGTTGAATTGGAGATGAGACCCACTATTTACTGTCATTAAGATTATAGGATGGGGTCCATATTTCCATGCTCCAATTGGTTAATAACAGAAGTCAAAAAGATTCTTCACCTATTTGCATATTAACTTGTAATTCCCTGCCCTTGTTTTCTAGTTAGGGTGGTCTTTAAATAGCAGATGATTACTTCACTCCCTATCTAGCCTTCTAAACATGGCTGTGTAAAATTTTTTTTTTCCTATGCAATCACTTTCTATTATGATAAATCCCTTTTAAGATACTTTCATGTGAGTGAACTCAACAGCCAATTATCTAATTCCCATCATTACAATTTTTTGTAATCATCTTGACCCTGGAGTGAAATGTCAGTGAATTATATTGAATAACTGAATTCTTATAAACATTTTTGTGGCTATGACCATAATAACCTTATCACACCTACCTCCTTCCTTTCAGTCTTTTTAAGGCTGATATAGACATTAGGGCATCAGAGGTATCTGCTTCAAAGCTTTATTTTTATGTGAAAAGCTCACCTATGACCCTTCCCTAGACATATAAAAGTTGAAAGCTGCTTAGGTGCTGGGGGAGTGCCTGGGTGACTGTAGAGTTTCTTTGAAATTGGCCCACCAAATGTTTCTCAGGCTGCAGCACTTCAAAGAGAAAGGCTGTTTTCTCCCGGCCTCTGCCCTCTCTATCTTAGCTGCCTAACTCCTACGGCTTCTTTTTTTTCTCCAAAACCGAGCTGTTTTATAGAATAAACTTAAAAGAGGCCTGGATCCCAGCAAGGAAATGATGACCTAGGTGGTTGCCACCTATAAAAGAATGAGTTTAAAATTTTAAAAAAAGTATTCTAACCACTTTCTCAGCCCTCCAGGAAGTATTTGCTGTTCTTCCCTATCATCATTATACAGAAATAAATAAATAAACCAACTAACAAAAAAAAATCCAAAGAAATAAATAAACACAAACACTATTAGGTAAATAGATCCTAGAATCTGGTAAAAAAAAAACAGAGAGGTGAAGGTTGGAGACAAGGGATGGGAGATGAATTAAACATAAAAATATTGGCATTTCTTTCATTAAAATGGGAAAAAATCAATAATGCAGTGCTAGTCTTCTTCTCTAATAGCAGCCAAATAATGGATTTTTTTCATTGTCTATATTAGAAAAGGCCAAGGATGACAGAGGGTAAAGGTGGGGAGGGATTTGAGGAGAATAATTTTATTGTTTGAGGATTTACTGCCCACTGAATCACACATCCCAATCATACACACAAACAATTATGATACATTTATCTAACCCAATACCCTCACTTTATCAGTAAGAAAACACAGGCTCTGACCTGAGAAATAAAGTGACTTAATATCATAGATACAGGACTAGAAAGGGCTTCAGAGGTCAATGGGTTCAAGCCTCTCCTTTTACAGATAAGTAAACTGGTGCCAGATTGGTGAAATGATTTGCCTAAGGCTGTACAGGTAGTAAATGGTAGATTCAAGGATTAAAACTCAGATCCTCTGATTTCGTATTTAATTTTTCCACCCACTTTACCGAACTAAAGTCATACAGCTGGTGGTGTTTAGATTCAAGATCAAACATTCTGCATCCAAATTATAATTTCTAATGATTTTTTTTGCTTCACAATATATTGTCAGTTGCAACATTTACAAATATTACCACTATTAGAAATTTTTATTTATGAAGGAAATATTTAATTCTAAAAAGATGAATTTGGGAAAAGATAAATAAAAGCTGTCATGCAAATTATCAGTTACTATCTTTTGCGAGTGGTGAATTTAATAGGAAAACACTGTGACATGAACATAGGTGTATTAATAAAATAGTGCAGCTAGGTTGTGCAGAAGGTAGAGTGCCAGGCTTAGAGTTAGGAAGACTTATCTTCATGAATTCAAATCCGGCCTCAGACACTTACTAGATGTGTAACCCTGGGCAGTCACTTAACCCTGTTTGCCTCAGTTTCCTCATCTATAAAATGATCTGAGAAGAAATGGCAAATCACTCCAGTATCTTTGCCAAGAAAAGCCCAAATGGGGTCATGAAAAGTCAGACATGACTGAAAAAAAAAAGGCAGAACAGCAATTAATAACATGGGTTGTCCTTGTTAAATATGGCATTTCTTTATCATACACCAGGTCAATAAATGAGTCTTGGTTGATATGCTAAGCTGGAAGGCACCATTAGCAAAATTCAGCAATTGTAGTAGAGTGTCTACATGTCCCGAAGGTTAAACAAAGGCTTTCATAAATGAAAGTGCTGACTGAGCCATACTCCCTATTTTAAGTGCAGACTTGGACCATGATTTTCTTTCTCCTTGTAATAACTATATGTAATCAAGGCAAAAACACTTTGCTATATAAGCAATTGCCTTTGGGGAGAGAAACAGCAGCATCAATGGGATTCTTGATTTGCTGATTGTTTTTATCAGAGAAAAATAAATAGCATTTGGTTTTTACATTTGGAATGCCTATAATATGTATATCCACAGTGTCCAAAAGTCTTAGGGCAATTCTAAACCTGTGACACTTATTCATATTAAGCCAACTCTTTAGGTAGTCACCAAGGCCCCCTTTAGACCATCATTGGAAATACCTTTAGTGGAAAACTGTAATTCTAATTTAAAATAAATGTGTTTTTATAAGTTCTATGTAATGGATAGGTCAGTTGATAGAATACTAAACCTGCAGTCATAAAGACATGATTTGTAATTCTGTCTCAGATAATTAATAGCTGTGTGACCCCAGGGAAGTCACTTAATCTCTTTGAGCCTCAATTCTCCCATTAAAAAAAAAAAGATATAATGGTAGCACCTACCTTATAGGGCTATTGTAAGGATCAAATGAGATTATATGTATTCAGAAACGTACATATATGCGTATATGTGCATATCATATGTGTGTATCTATCTATCTACATCTCAGTTTTCCCCCATTTTGGCAATATAATGTTTCCTATGAAGAACACAAAGACAGCATTTTTGCACTTCCAAGACATTGGAATTAGTAATATTTAAAAACATGATAGGTTGCAACTTTTAATATGTATATTTTTAAATTTCAGGTGAAATTTATCCCAAGATGTACCACACATGCTTTTTCCTGGTGACATATATGGCACCTCTGTGTCTCATGGTGTTGGCCTATTTACAAATATTCCGAAAACTATGGTGCCGCCAGGTAAGCAATTTCAGCTGATTTATATTTGACTTATTAAGAATTTTCACAAGCCCAAATTGCCACAGTGGACTTATATAGCATACAGGTGATTAATTAAGGGCAAATAATAACAAGCCTTGATAAAAAAAAAAGTTGAGATACTAACTAATGCTAACTGAGCTAGGTTTTATTGATTGTATTATTAACACTTACATTTGGAAAATCTAGTTTGTGTACTGGCTTAGTGGTTTAAAGTTTGAGGCACAGTTGTACCTACTTGGTGACTTGACTTTACTTATGAGAGCAGCATTAGCCAAAGCAGGTCAAATAATGGATGGAGATGTGGTTTGCATGTTGGAGAAAACACCTATTCTGATGAAATCACAGCTCTTTTGAAGCATTGAAGTATAAATAAATACATGTATGAAAGTACAAATAAAATATGCTTGGATTATATATTTTTTGCAATTAAGGTGTGCCACTCCTTCCAGCAGTGAGGATCATAGCCTCTCTATTCTAAGATACTGTCTGTAAGACAGTTGGGAGCAAGATGATACAGTGGGAAAAGTTTTGTTTTTTGAGTCAGAAGATCTGGATTCAACTCCCACATTTGACACTACTTTTATGTCAGTATAACTTCCTAGGTCTCAGTTTCCTTATCTATAAATGAGGTGGTTGGATGAGATGACCTCTGAAGTTATTTCCATACCTAGATCATATTATCATTAGTTACTAAGCCTGAAAAAATAAATATTGTGCTCTGCTCCACCTTTTGGAAAGCCTCTTTGAGTTTACTTAATTGCTCTTTAAGTTGAAATAATAACCACAATGGTAATGATAATAACATTTATATAGCACCTTAAGTCTTTGTAAAGTACTTTACATATGCTTAATGATAATAACAATGACAAAAACCATATTTACATAGTCCTTAAATTTTGCGAAGTGCTGTACATAAGCTGTCTTGTTTGGTCCTTATAAACCAATGAGATTGGTGCTATTATTTTCCCCATTTTAAGGCTGAGAAAATATGAGTCTGAAAGAGGTCATGTGAGTTGCCTATAGTTATATAGCTGATTAGTATCTGAGGCAGGACTAGAACTCAGATCTTTCTGAATCCAAATCCAATATCCCTGGGCCACTGAACCCATCACCAGTTTCATGTATGATACCTTTCCACATTGGTAAGAACTGTAAGAGCTTGTGCTGCATTAGCAAAACAGTTGAGACCCCAGTGTCATCCCTATACCATGATAAGACATTGGATGAATGCCTTTAGTAGAGAATTATAATTCTAATTTAAAATAATATTTTAATTAACTCTATGTAATAGATAGATGAGTTGATAGAATGCTAAATCTGGAATCATAAATGCCTCCTGTTGAATCCTACCTTAGATGTTTGCTAGCTGTGTGACCCCAGGAAAGATACTTAATGTCTCTTTGTCACAGTCCTCCCAGCTACTAAAAAAAAAAAAAAGCAGATATTAGTTAGCACCTACCTTAGAGGACTCTTTTAAGGAACAAAAGGAACTATAAAAATATACATATACACATATATGTGTATATGTATTTGTATGTATATCACATATAGTGCTTTGTAATCTTTAAAGATCTGCGTAGATTTATATTGTGTTTTTTAATATAAGCTAAGAAATCTGTTTATCAATTGATTGAATAAAATGTACCTTCACAAAGATATGTATTTTAAATCGTTAATAACAAATTAAATAGAATCTTATTTAAGCTTCTTACTGAATCAAGTTTTATAAATGGCCGTAAGAGTTTGATGAGACCTTAAAGGCCATCTAGTCCAACTTCTCCATTTTACAGATGAATAAACTGATACCCAAGAAAGTTAATTTGTCACCCACGTAAGAAGTATCAGAAGCAGATTTGAAACCGTGGCCACTGATTCCAGAGCCACTTTCCTATCCACTTTAGCATAGCAATCATTTCCTTTGCATAGCAGTTATGTCACAAAAAGTATAAACAATAACATGAAGCAGCATGGAATATAAAGACCACTATCACAAGCTAGCAGCTATTAATCCATTACACACTCATATGTGTCAAGTGCCATGGAGTTAACACACACAAGCCCTGCCCTTGACAACCTAAGACAGAACAAAGCTGATGGCTGGTCATTTCAATTATTTCAATTCCTTAAGCATTTATTAAGCACTTACTCTATGTCAGGCGCTGAGAAAAGGAAAACAAAATATTTCCTGTACTCAAGGTTCTTACCTTATTTAGAGAGAATTGACACATGTATACAAAAATTAAGTACAAAACAGTTTTGGGTTGGAGAGGGGATCAGGGTTGGCTTCCTAAAGAAAGCAATGTTGGAACTCATCTTTGCAGGAAGCTAGCAATTCTATGGGACTAGACAAGGAAAGAGTCCATTGCTGAAATAGGAAAGCTAGTGCAAAGGGGAAGAGACAAAGGCAATGGACTGGCACATTTGGGGTAGAACAAGGATACAAATTGGGCCAGAATATAAGAATAGTCAGGGAAGCAATGTATATTTGCCCTGGAAAGTAGGCTGGAACCACACCAAGGAGGGCTTTACAAGCCAGAGAAATTTGCATTTTAGTCTAGAGTCAAGAGAAAGAACAAACATATTCAGACTAATGAATAAGTCCATGAATTAAATAATAAATAAAGATGGATTGATATGTATCAGTAAGAGCCCTAAGTACATTTGAAGTAAAAGTCAAAAAAAATTACAAGCACAGTAAAAATAAGGTTTAAGGAGGATGTACTATACCATTTTTTATCCTAATTGGTATTAATAATATAAATTAACAATGAATGATATAGCATAATGACAAAGTTATATTAATAAATATAATAATGTAAATATTTATTGAATCGAAGGACATTACTGCAGGGTTTTCGAAAATTACTATGGAAAAGGTGCTGAGATTATGGAAGGGATTTCAATGAAATCAAGTCTCACTCAATTTGAAAATAAGGAAACTGAGTCTCAAAAAGCTGAAGCAACTTGACCAAGGTCATAAAGACAGTATGTATCCCAGCCAACATGCAGACATAGTTCCAATGATATCAAAGCTTACTCTCTTTCCACTGTAGCATGTTACTTTTTCAGGGCTAAACTATTCACCAAGTCACATAATTGGAAGAGTTAGAAGCAACGTTCAAAGATATCTCATCTACTTAACCCTGGATAAAAATTCCCTGTACTATATGTCCAATATGTCACCTTCAGCCTTTTCTTGAAGACTTTCAGTGAAGTGGGATGAACCATTTTCTGAGACAGTCCATCCTACTTTGTATACAGTTAATTATTTGGAAGTTATCCCTGACATCATGATTAATTTGCCTCTTTGCAATCTATTATTCCTTGCTCTGTACTCTGGGGTGAAGAGAAACAAATCAATTCCCTCTTCCACATTACACTCTTCCCATACTTGAAGACAGCTGTCATCTACCCACTATATCTTTTCTTTTGAAGGCTACACATCCCCAGTTCAAATCAGTTGCTTCAACCAATTGCCAAAAGCATGAACTCTTATGCTCTCTATCCTAGTGGTCGTCTCATACCTGTCTACCATATATAAAGTCTCTCATAAAATGTGGTATCCAGAACTGAAAATAATATTCCAAATACAGTATGATCAGAGCACAGTACAACAGGATGATTATCTCTATTCTTTCATTTGCCTTTTCTGGCTTTCCTGTAAAATTTTAAAATTATATTGATTGAGTCTATTAAAAACCCCACATATTTTATGATCAATAACTATGTAGTCATACAACCCTCCCATCTCACACTTGTGAAATTAATTGGTTAAGGCCAAGCCTTAAACTTTGCATTTTTTAAATTTCATTTTTTTAGATTCAGCCTAATATTCTTCCTTGTCAAATTTTTTGGTATGATTATTATTTCCAACTCTGTTATGTTAGTTATCTCTCAGCTTTTGGAGGATAATGTATAAAGAAACATTGAGTAGGGTAGTAAGATGTGGGGACAAAATCTTCTTACTTTTGTATTTATGATGCTTGCAATATTTTGCAGTTAATAGATGCTCAATGAATTAACTTTACTCACAAGTACCAAACACCACTTAATTCCTTTTTGATATGAAAGTTAGCATAGAAATACCAGGACCACCATAAATTCTAAATTTTTAACTTCATACTCTTCACTTTCAACACCCCTTTAAATGACTATGTATGTATATGTGTATGTGTAGATATGTGTGTATGCATGTCTATACACACATGCACATGTAAATATGCATATAAATACACATATATGTATATATTTTCAAGGCTAAAGAAGAATCTTCTTTAACAAAAACTCTTAGTGGATGCCCTTCACCTAATTGAAAACTTTTTAACAAAAAAGAAACTAGGATTCAATGTGAACAATCTAGGATGTGAAAACAAGTATTCTCACAAAACAGATTGTAACAGAAAATGCCAGGTTCAGCAAAGTCTAGCTTAGCAACCATAATCATGTAAATTAATCCCAAAAGGATGATTTCGTAGAAATCCATTTGAGAACTTACCTTTCATGTCCAACTGTTAAGTCCCGTGAACAGATTTGGAGAATATTATGAGTGCCATAGGCAGCATCAACTGAGCGAACAAATGACTCGCCTATACCATTTGTCTAAAAACAGTGAATGTATGGAATCCAGTTTATGTTTTCATTTCCAACTTTCTTATCACATTGAAGACAAACAAAAAACCCCCCTAGGTTTGAACTCCATGTCCTGCTCTGAACTTAAGGTCTAATTATCATAAATGCCTAATATTTTCTACCTTCATCTAATTCAAATTCGTATGTCTTTGATACTTTCCCAGAAACAGGATTGTAAATGACTGGACCAAGACTGCAGAGACTGAAACATATACATCCACCTTTCCTTAAGCATTTGAGAACCACCTCTTAGCTTTCTACCCACAAGCATCACAAATAACACTTTAGACTATTGTTTCTGGACAAAAATATCCATTTACTAACCTTTGTATCTTAAACTCTATCAAGAT